AAAAATTTAAGAATTAAATTACGCGATAAAAATGAACAAAAGTAAAGTAAACAATTTTATTTTTTATAACAAAAGTTAAAAATAATACGAAGCTTTATGAAACTTGATATGTTTCTCGAATATTCAATTTTGGAAGAGTTAAGTACATTCTAAATCCTTTAAAAATAAATTTGGTTCACTCTTTGCTTTTGTTTTTGATTCAACTTTCTTTAACATCAGTCAATAATTCCAATTAGTATAAATTTCAAATAAGCAGCTTTTTATAAATTGGGTTTTTTTATTACTAAAAATTGAAAAACTATCTTTTTGTAATGTATTTGACAACTCATCGTTGTGTGCTCTGTTCCTCATAATAACCTTCTTGTGAATTGTGAAACTCCTGTGATCAATAACCAGCTTTTGTCTCAGAATTGATGTCCACTCGTTTTAAAAACACGTTTTAAGGACATATTTGCATGATACTCAAGCAGTTTTTATCTAGCAATATAAGGTTTTGCAACTATTTCACCTGTTATTCCATTCGTAAAAACTTTTAAACAATCAAAAATTTATACAATTAAATATATATTATTGAAATAACAACTTTTGAGTTAATATAAGGATAATTAAAAGATAAAATAGTTTCTGTAGAATAAAATTAGGATAAGACTAACTAAAAAACGAAATTGTTGTAGAATAAAGTTAATATAAGAGTAATTTAAAGATAAAATAGTCTCTGTAGAATAAAGTTAATGTAAGAATGGTTAAAAAATAGAATTGTTGCTGAACAATAATACTTTTTTAATAATTTAAAACTTTTAATACAATTAATTTGCTATACTCTAAAATAAAACAACTCTCAATTCTCTCTTTAGCTCAGTTGGTAGAGCATCAGACTGTAATATTACTTGAAATCTGGTTGTCCAGTGTTCGAATCACTGAAGGGAGAATTTTTTCCCAATTCTCAGAATGGGTGAAACATTATTTTTCCACTTTTTCAGTTTGAGTTTGGAATTACATTTGTTTAATTTTATTTTATTTGCTTATTGTTAGTTAAATTTTTTATTTTTTTTTAGTTGGGATTATTGATTAAAATACTAACATAAAAAATATTTTTAAATTAAATATCTGAAGAAAGTATATCACAGCAATTATAGTAGTTATATAATCACCACTATAGAGAAGAATGAGAAACTTCTTGTTCATAATATTCATTGTAATTTCGTTTCTCTTTATAATCCTTCTTATTAAATTTTCCTCTAAGAAAGCACTTTTCAAAAACTTTTTCAATAATCTATTCAAAATTTTTCTGTGATAAAAACCTTGAACTTTTAAAGAAAAAAAAATATATATATACTGCTAATTTCTTATTGTGACAATGTTTTCAATTGTTTAGAAATTTTCAAAGTGCACATGAACCTCATTTGAGCTCCAATTTTCTAAAGATTTTTCCACTGAATGGAGGGATATTTAAAATTGAAAAGTTTTACACTTCAATATTAATATAAATTTGATGAAATATTAATAGAGATCAATTGTATCTATGAATAAATCATAATAAAACTCTATAATAATTTTATTCAGCAGTATCTACCCATTCATTGCAGTTTTAAAAGTGAGGTTCTGAATGGCTAACGGGCAAGAAGAGTTGCTTTGCAGTAAACACTCTCTAATACCAGTTTCCGCGATACTTATAACTTGGAACTTTAGTTTAAGCTTCTTTTTTTGTCCAAAATTTTATTTTGTGTAACAGTGTGGTTTAAGAGAGCAGTTTAAAAAAGAAAAGAGTGACAGAATAATTTTCGGCCTAAAAGTTGGGCGCAAAAAACTTTGGAGAACTTTTTGGCCCATAAAAAAAAAAAAAAAAAAAAAACTTGAAATCAAAAATGGGATTGTTTGGTTGTACGTGTCGCAGTGCTGATGATGGAAAATTAGATAGAAAACCTCAAAATAGTCCTTTACACAACCAGGTTCAACCTACCTTTATAGAAAATGTTGAAAAGAAGGAAACAGTAGTTACTAATTCAAACAAATATAGCGATGGATTTTTGGTGACTTTGGTAGACTTTACTTTACTAGATGATAGTGAAGGTGTCACCATTTCAAAAAACTGTAAATTTTTTGAAAAATCAACAGGTTTTCCTCAACAACCAGCTTCATTTTGTTTGTATTCGAAATTTATTCCTGGTGTTTTAAATCATTTTGAAACACTTCAACATTCTCGTCCAAAAATTACCACAGTTGTTAATTTTCCTCTAGGTTTTTTTTGCTTATTCATTTTTTTTGAAGAGTTTTATTTTTATTATTTTATCAAAAAATAAAATAGGTTTATCAAACGAAACTTTGGTTTATAGAGAAACTTGGATGGCACTGGAAAATGGAGCTGATGAGATTGATGTTGTTTGGTAAATTTCTTTTTGTTTAGTTTAAATAATTTATTTTTGTACTTTTTTTTTTTAAGGAATTTTTCAGCATATAACCTAGGCGATGTGGAAAGTGCCTTAGAACCAATTTTAAGTACAATTAAAGCCATAAATAGGTTTATGGCCGACAAACCAATTGTCTTAAAAGTAAATCAATTTTTTTTTTCTTCATAATCAAAGTTAAAAAAAAAAAAAAAGGTCATTATGGAGACAGCTGCCATTACGAATATTTTTAAAGCATCTAATTTAATACTGCATTTCATATCCAAGTTTGACTTAAAAATCGATAGTTTTTTTTTAAAAACTTCCACAGGGAAACATTCAAGTGGAGGGGCAACATTGGATGCTGCGAAAGAGATGTTGAGGGCCATTTATGTTTTTGAAAATTTGAAAAGGTCCCCATTTAAAATTGGTGTAAAATTCAGTGGGGGGATAAGGAAAAGGTATTTTTTTTTTTTTTATTTTTTTATATGTTTTAAACCATATTTTTTTTTTTTAGAGAAGAATGCATAAAATATATTAATTTGTTAGAAAAAGATATATATTGGTGTGATAAAATCCATCCAACTTATCTTAGAATTGGTGCAAGTGGTTTAGTTGATGACATTCTTTCAAAAAAAGTGGAAGGTTTAAATGAGTTAACTTATTAAAAAATTTTTTACTTAGAATAATTTTTTTTTTCCCTTAATAAATCAATTTTTTTTTTCCAACATTGATTTTTTTTGAACCATTATTTAGTCCATATTAAACTCTAGTTTTTACTAACTGATTTGAATTTTTATGTTTTCCTCACTTGTGATACAGCTTTGGAGAGAATTTTACCCCTCCAAAAATTTAAAAAAAAAAAAATAAAAAACCATTTAGAAATTACTACAAATGAATGAGGAAGTTGCAATTTTGAGTAATGAATTTTCAAAATAAATTATAATAAATTTTTAATTTGATGTAAAAATTTGCAAATAGATAACCAACAGGAATGGACAGCTTCAGTCAAACATAATGGTGAAGCTTGCACACTTGGTTACAACCATGATAGTGTTTGGTGGAAAAATCAATCTGCTAAAGTAGTCGTTTTACCTCTAAATTTTGTATTTGCAGTAACAACTACAAATAATAAAAACTCCTCAAATGAGAAATTGTCTAGTTTGGATTTATCAAATTTAAACGTTTCAAATACAAAATTTTTTTCCATTCATTATATTTATTTAACAAAAGGCACAACTTCAAAAAAACCTGCCTATCAAGTATTTAATTTTGAAACTGAAAGTGAAGAAATAACTTTGGAAATTATTGAAGTTTTACGAAACAAAGTGAATTCTGGTCCTGGTAAAAAATATTTATTGAAAAAAAGAAAAAAAAATTGTAATTTGTTTATATTTATTTTTAATACTACTTTGTATTTAAAGGACAAGCCACCATTAAGAAAATTTTAGTGTTGATCAATCCATTCGGAGGAAAAAAAGAAGCTGTTAAAATTTATAATGGTATACCTGCTAAAATGTTCTCCCTTGCAGGAATTGTGACAGATGTTGGTAATTTTTTTTATTTTGGAATAGATATAAATATTACATATACAAAAAAAAAGTTGAATCTAAACACCAGGGTCATATAACCGAATACATTAAAGGTTTTATAAAAAAAAAATTATACATATATATATATTTTTGTAAATAGATTTAAACATATATCAATATGATGCTATAATAACCGTAAGTGGGGATGGTTTATTTCATGAAGTCGTAAATGGTATATTATTACGTGATGATTGGGAAAAAGGAAGAAAAATTCCTTTGGGAATGGTAAAGAATCTTTTCTATTGTAGGTTCATTTTTTTTTTGACTACTTTTTTTTCTAACAAAAAAGATTGCTGGTGGTTCAGCCTCTGCACTAAACACGAATCTGGTATTAATCTTTTCGCAATTTTATCATTTAATTTTTAAAAAAAAATAAACAATTTTTCAAATTTCAGGAAACAAAATTTCCTGCATTTGCGGCACTCTCAATAATAAAAGGTCTCAGTACACCGATGGACATATTTTCTTACTATAGTGAAGAAAAAATTGTTTATTCTCATTTGAACTTGACTTATGCATTAATTGCTGATGTTGATATTGAATCAGAAAAATTTCGATGGATGGGAATGGCAAGAACCACAATTGGTGGTATTTGTTGCATATAATATTTGCAAAAAAATTAAGTTTTTTTTTTTTTTTTTGATAAAACAGCGCTAGTTAGAATATTGCGTTTGAGAGAATATAAAGGAACTGTTTACTTTAAACCAGTAGAAGGGGAAAATATTCCCTTAGAAGCTAGAAATACATCCAAGAATAAATTAAATGGAGATGAAGAAGTAAAACATCTCACACCCACAGTTTACCCAACTCATAATGGACCTAGACTTGAATCGCTTTTAGAAGACTATCGGCAGTTTGATGGTTGTTTGGAAAATTATAATTTCACTTCATTTCAACTATCTAATTTAAGTTGGATTGCTCCAGATTTCATGGTAAAAACAACAAACTTTTTTTATTTTTATCTTTTTAGGCTAGTCCACATGTTAAGTTTAATAGTGGAACTATGGATTTTATATATAGTGGATCTGATTTAACAAAAATGTCAATAACTAATGCGTTTTTAGATGGGACAAAGGCAGAGTATTTGAAAAATCCAATGTTTAAGCACTGTCTGGTTAAAAGTTTAGTTCTTATACCAAAAGGTTTAGTTGTATCGAAAAATTCCGATGGAAGTGATGTTTTGGATAGTACCAAGGGTATTTTTAGTTTAAGTGGAGAGGCCTTTAAAGTTGCACCAGTTAGGTTAGAAATTCATCCTGCAGTAATGAAAGTTTTAACACCACAACACCTCAATGAGGACTTGTGGTTGCAGCTTTTTAACAATTCCAAACTATAGAGTACATTTCGTTTACCATTGTTGTTATTCTTTATAACCTCATTTATTTTCAATTATAAACTAAACTAGAAGAAAGTGTATTCGAAAAACTAATTGCAGTTAAAGGTTTTCAACCAGTTTTTCCTACAAAATATAATTACTATACACATTTCAGAAGAAAAATTAATACACGTAAAATACTTGGTTATAAAGTATGTTATTTATGTTAAACCATCCAATGTATTTAAGTTAATAAAAATTACATGATTCGCTTATTAGGAGGCAGTTTTTTGGTTCATTTAAGCCAAAATCTAAAGGAAATTTAGTTTCTGGTTTTTCATTTTTAATATAGTACACACACCAAAAATGTCACCAAACTTTTGGCACAATATCTATCAATACTTAGTGCGTTTTCCGCCTAATCTAATAACTTCTTTTAATCTATTTTCTGCACTATCAGATAAACTATTTCATCAATTTCCTCCCAAAGAGTTGTTCAAACTTCATTTTTGGTCTAAGGATTTCCAAATTTTCTTTTTGTAGTCTATTCTGTAACATAGCCGATTGGTTCTGTACAGGATTCATATCCGGGCTCTGTGGAAGTTCAGTCAAGGGGTGGCATCTTGTTCTGGTTGAG